GAGGTAGAAATCAAGCGGGGTGGATTCCAGGCCAGGTGATGGGGTACTGAATTTCATGGGTTCACTTTCTAGAACCTTTGAGCTGGTGGCTTAAATCATACCCACTTACCATTTCCCAGTCCAGAGCCGAGATGAGGAGGTAGGTTCAAATGAATTCTCTGCTTAGAGCCTCAGAAGGCCAGAGTCAAACTGTTGCCCAGAATGTGCCCTTATCTGAGGTGCTGAGGAAGAACTGGCTTCTGAGATCACTCGGGTTATGACAGATTTGAGCTCTTGTGGTTGGTTGCAAGACTGAGGCCCCAATGTCCTTGCTAACTGTCAGTCATACACAGTCCGTGGGGCTGCAGTACACCCACGCAGACTGTCCACACCTCCAGTGTCTTAGTTACTGTCTATTGCTGTGAAGAGACACCATGACCAAGGCAACTAACTTATAAGAGAAAGCATTTAATTGAAGGCTTCCTTAAAATTTCAAAGGGTTAGTTAGTCCATGATCATCATGGAAGGAAATAGAGCGACAGGCAGGTAGTCATGGTGCTGGAGCAGCAGGTGAGAACTACATCATATCTGTAGGCTGGAGGCAGAGAAAGATCAAGACTGGGAATGGCTGTAGGCTTTTGAAACCTCTAAGCCCACCCCCAGTGACATACCTCCTCCAACAAGGCCACACCTCCTAATCCTTCCTAAACAGTCTACCAACTGGGAAGCGAATACTCAAATATATAAGCCTATGGAAGCCAATCTCATTCAAACCATCACACACGGTAGATATCTCCATCTTCAAGCCAGCAACAGCAAACCCCTCCAGGATTTCTTCTTGACGGTGGCCTAAAGTGACTCATGGAAATGGTCCACTTGACCAAGAAGATGCCGCAAAACCATGCAAATCAAGGGCTTGAAATTGTTGTATTCAATTTAAAAACACTCATGACATTACCAATACCATCAAGAGTAAAGAGATCCAAAAGAGCCACCAGGAATCTGAAAGCTGTCACTTTACAGAAGTACTACGTGCCATCCTGTGCTTACAGTTGCGGAGTTCATTGGTGTGCCAATGCCAGACAATAGGGCTGGACACAAGGTTAGTGACCCAAAGGCTGGATTGTTTTCTATATATGCTTGACGGCACAGAGGAGCTGGGGTTGACACTCAGTAGGAGAGCATGTGCTTAGCATGTGCAAGGCTCCAGGTTGAGGAGCCAGCACCACATCCCAAGTGCAGACAGTGGAGCATCGCTGAACTTATTTAAAATCGAAGATGGAGATTCTCAGCTGGGTGTGGTGGTACATGTCTATAATCATAGCCCTTGAGAGGCACAGCAGGGGGATGGAGAGTTCAAGGCCAGCCTGGGCTACCTAGCAAGATCTGTCTCCTCCTCCCCCCAAATGGTTTTGTTTTTGTTTGTTTTTTTGTTTTTTTTTTGGGGGGGGTTGTTTGTTTGTTTGTTTGTTTGTTTTTGAGACAGGGTTTCTCTGTGTAGCCCTGGCTATCCTGGATCTCTCTGTGTAGACCAGGCTGGCTTCAAACTCATAGAGATCCACCTGCCTCTGTCTCTGCTTCCTGAGTGCTTAGATTAAAGGTGTGCCACCCCCGCTTGTCCCCAAAATGTTCTTAACTATAAAATATTGGCATAGATTCTCTGATCATCCATTGTCTCCAGGCAAACACAATACCAGAAAGATGCTGCCAAACTTATGGAGCTTGGGGTGGGACTAACCCGTGAATGAGCTCTCCTGGCCATGTGGCTCTGCTCCAACTGAAAGGGAGCAAATTTCTCTCAGAGCCAAAAATAAGTTTGCATAGAAGAAAATCATATCTCAGAAGAAACCTAACGGACAGAGTAGGAAACCATGGAATAATATTCAACATGGAATAAATGCAAAGGATTTTTGACAAGTTCTTGGTTGCTCTTTTCACTTCTGCCACCAGCTAGAGGAAACACAGCTTTTGAAGGGCTTCTTTAATTAGAGCAGGGGCCATCCCAACCGCCCCTCCCACCCCCACCCCCACCCCCCCACTGTAAGTTCTGCTGTGGTCCTATTGATACCTTGTTCCTAAGGTCCCCCTCATCAAAGGCAACAGCATGATCCCAGGGCATTGTAGAACCTGATCTCCCACAGGAGGGATGTCAGAGGCAGTGGGCCAGGATGAGGGATCACGGCTCACTGTGCCTTGTCTGCTGGATGCATGGGGATGGAGAACTTCTCTTTGTTGTAGGAGACACAGTCATCGCACGCAGACATCACTAACACAGGTGAGCACCCACCATCCTCCATCCTCCAGTCCCTCCACCAGTGCCCCCACAGCCTGCTGGAGCCTTTTGGATTAGGTCGAGTACATTGAGGAATAGCTCCCATCTGTCTCCTGGCTTCATTCTCCTCTCCATTCTCCCATCTGCCCACAGCCAGCTCAGGGTCAGCTCCCCTTCTGGTCTGGAGGAGGAAGACCACTGGCTCTTCAGCTACCCCTCTCCTCTCGGGCTTCTGTTGAAAACCTCAGTGGTTCCTGGTGTCCATGTTGGCTGCAGTCCATTTTCTGTCAGGGGAAGATTTCTTGTCTCCTGAGCCAACCACAAACCCAGGTCGATCCAAGACACTTCGTCTTAAACTGATAGATCCTGTTATGGATCTTCCTCATCCCACCTGTGTGCTGTGTGCCCAGCCAAGAGTCAGCATGCCCCAACCAGCCAGGTCACAGAGCTTTCTGGACCGGTGTCTGTCTATTTATCATCCATCCTCACCTGATTTCATACCCTTTATGTGCTTAGCACCTGGCCTCATGGTTCAGTCACCTGCTCAGAACTGTTCTGTGTGTCTTCTTCCATGTATCAAATAAGCTGTTTGACTATGCTGGCCTCAGCTTCCACATCTGTAACATGGGTACAGGAACAAGGCCAGGTCAGCAGTCCTTTATTTAGGCTGCTTCCCTGTGAGAGGGAAAAACACAGATTTGTGGTCCCTACCCTGAGAAATAATTTGAAGCCCTGAGGTAGAGCCCATGTGCTGTGTATTAGCAGGCCTCTGTGTCCCACCAGCTCTGGATCCCTGCTGGAAGGGAGGTAAGTGCTCATCTTTTTGCAAATCTCTGCACCGTAGTGAACCAGCTAGAAGCCTCTTCAGCCAGATGCAGGCAGCTCCTGGGTGGGTAGGGAGCCTTCTGTCACATGTCTCCATGGTAGAAGCCATACTTTGTGTCTGATTTGACCCCACATCAAGATTCTCCAAGTACTAAGTTACTAGAATGCTTGTCTGCTATAAACAGGCCCTGGGTTCAATTCCCCGGTACCTGTAGAATTAAGGATTTCCCAGGACAGGCTCCAGAGATGACTCAAGCAGTTTGGAGCACTTGCTCTTCCACAGGACCAGAGTTTGATCACTAGCATGCAAACCTGGCATGCCCCTAAGTGTGACTCCAGTTCCAGAGAATCTAATACCCTCTTCTAGCATCCATAGTACCCACACATATGCAGCATATAGTCACACACAGAGACACATAAATAAAAATAAGTATTTTTAATGTTTCCCCAAGTGTTACACACCCTCCTGTTCTCTGTTCTCTGGGATAAAGGTGACTGTCCTTCCTACCCGGTGGTCTGGCTGGGGAAGGACAAGGGCCTGTCTGCTGGGGCTGTCTCCCAAGCCTGTTCCTGAAGCTTGTGGGGAAGCAGCTTTCCAGCCCAGCTGCTCAGAACGGCTGGATGGTCTCGGATGCCTGGTTGTTAAGGAGCGATGCATCCTCGACCATCAAGCCCCTTTAGTTCACCTACAACAGGAAGTGAGCAAGCAAGGAACAAGTGTAGCCGTGGAGAGAGAAGAGATACCCATGTTGCTCTGCTCACATCAGCCCTTATAATGAGATCTTCCTGACAGCTGCTTGGTTGGCTCCGCTCTCCTAGGTTCAGTACCCACACACACACACTCAGCCTACCCTAGCTCCACTCACCCTGGTACAGTACACACACACACACACACACACACACACACACACACACACACTCACCTTACCCTAAGCCAGACACAGCTTGCTGGGGTCTGCTATCCTAGGACAGGGCTGAGAGCACATCTCTCCCTCTGTTTGTCCTTCTGTCATCCCCCAGCTAGAGGAGCCCCAGGAAAACAAAGCCTCCATTTGACAGGGGACTTATCCCTGTGAGTATGAGTAGAACCCGGAGAGGCCCTCATTTCACGCACAGAGAAACTGAGGCACCTAAGCCAGCTAGAAGCTGTAAGAGCTTGGTCCCTGCGCAAAGGCCCATGCTGTAAGGAGAAGCGGGAGCTTACCCAGTAGACAGACAGATGTCTTCACAGCTACGTCCTACAACACCCCAGTACAATACTCACATTTTAGGGCATCTACCTTGAAGTGCAAAATGGTCTGGGGTGAGACCAATTAGGACCTTGGCAGAGGCTTCAGGGAGGAAAGGAGGGAAGCCAGAGAATCTGTCTACCATGGGGTAGCTCATGTCAGAGTGCTCACAAGGGAGTAACCAGGAGGTTAGTGCCCACTCTGCCTGCGTCAAGGGCCAGCCTAAGTCACCAATGTTAACCAGCTCCTGTCCCACTTAGAAGAGGCAAGGCGAGATGAGCAAGTCAGACCAGAATCGCATCTCTAAGTTTTGGAAGAGCTGCGCGTTTTCCATAAGCCAGAGATGGAGCCAGGGAGACAGGAAGGGAAAGCCAGACAGGAGAACCTCCTCTTTCGTTGATGTCCTTCCTGCTGATGCTCCCAGCAGCTCCCACAGTACGTGGTAGATCCCTGGAAGAGATAGGTCTCTTTTGCCCGGTGACAGACTTCCCTAGCAGACCATACCAGGAGCCTGCAGGATGCAAACGAGAACACAGCTATCAGTTCTTTAATTTTCTTTTTCTTCCCTGGGGCACAGTAAACCTACCCCCCCCTCTGGGTATGTAGCTGCAGCAGCTAGAGTCTCATATTTAGAAAGAATGCTCTGGAGAAGGGAGGGACAGGAAAGACCCCTCTGCTGTGCCGGCGACTTCCTAAGACTGCCGCTATTGGCTCCCCATGTGGGCTTCTCAGCCAGGCTGGACCAATGATGTACACCCAGGCAGGCTAATTTAGACCAGCTGGCCCAGCTACAGATTACTATTGCAGAGAGAGAGAGAGAGAGAGAGAGAGAGAGAGAGAGAGAGAGAGAACCTGGGAAAGCAAGAAGCAGGGACTTGGGAGAAATCTCAGTGGTTTCTGAACATTAAATGAGTTGGGATGCAAATGAGATGCAGATGAAATGTAAATGAGCCTCTAGTATTTTTGAAAATAGACACCAGTGGTTTGGCTAAGAGAACAGCAGTTAATCTCTCAGTGGCTAGGGATATCCAAAGTGACCTCTCCTAGAGGAGCATCCATTGCATGCAGGACTTGCCTGAGCTACTCAGAGCCAGGTCCCTAGCCCACTGGGCCACAGTGCACTCCAGTGCCCCCTGGCACCATGCATGGGTCCGCACAGAGCAGCTGCCAAGGTACCTTGTCTTTCTTGGTTCGACACAAAGTGCATAGGTAAAGCGCAAGGGTCACCCCATATCAGCAGCACAGGGCCCTCCAGGAGTCTGCGGAGGAAGGTAGTATCATTATGACTTGTGATAAGACCTGACCTGAAGTTACAAGCAGGTTTGTGCCAGAGCCTGAGCTAGAACTAGAGTTCTGGGCTCCACTGCCCACTCCAACGTGCCATCTCTCCCAGCTCTCACTTGTTCTTGAGTGAGAGTGGACTTTCTCCTTCTGAGGATAGAGGGTGAGTTCTTGGGGGTGGGCAGGTGGCAGGGAGGGACGTCACCCATCTGACACCAGGAGGTGGGTCTTCACAGGTGAGGGTGAGGATGTCCCTCAACTCCTGACACTTCCTAAATCATCCCAGGATTCTAAATTCTGTGGAGCCATAAGCTGGCAAAGCATCCTGCTCTGCCATCCTTTCCCTTCTAGTCCTGCCTAGACACTTCCAGGAGGGGGCCTCCATCCCTCTAAGAGCTGGAGAGTCCCCAGCTAGGGTCTGGAGACACCAGAAGGAAGACAGAAAGTAATCAAATGGCAGGTTTGATTCTAGCAATCATTCTAGCAACTAGCTCTGTCTTGTCTTTCCCGGTTCTGCTGGATGCTTGAGGTGCCAGAAGGGCCCTCCAGAGGGCACAGGGGAGCTGGCTGCGCCGCCTCAGAGACAGCAGCCAGGAAGAAGCAGCAGGCAGGAAAGGTAGTTGCATTTGGGGAAGAGACAGTCACAGGCTGTAGCTGCTCCTTAGGGTAGCCCCCACCACAAAGGACGATGTGCCCAGAAGGCAAGGTAGCCCACCTTCCCCCCTCCACTCCTGGCTTCGCTGTCCTCTGCCGTGGCCTCAATGGCAGAACTCAGGGTAGGACTGAGCATGAGACGGAACAGGGAACGCATGAGGCATATAGCCCTGATAGTCAGAGGCTCAGAAGAGCTTCCGAACAGAGACCCCTTGAGTTCAAGGCCAGTTGTCCCAATACACCTGGTGAAAGCTTGATAAATAAAAACGTGGACTAACTGACTGGTCAGTTAACTCGTGTTGGAGACCGAGACAGTGAAGCATTAGTGTGTGCATGTGTATGTATGTAGGAGGGTGCATGTGCACATGGATGCCAGATGTTGACGTCCTGTGTCTTCTTCAATCACTTTACACCTTATATTTTGAGATGGGGTCACCCATTAAACATAGAACTTGCCAATTCAGTTAGACTGGCTGGCAATCAAGCCCTAGCCATCCCATTTCTGTTGCCCCAACCCAGTGCTGGGGTTACAAGAACATGCCTCCCACGCCCAATCTGTCACGTGGGTGCTAGAGATCTAACTCAGGTCTGCATCTATATTCAAATGACTCAATATGGGAAATGATCAGTCTGAACAATTGAGCCCCCTTGATCTTCCTCTGTAGGGTTTATCTAGAGATAAGACAATGACTGAGTGAATGTACAATGCAGGGCAGACAGGAGGTACTCAACAGACAGTATTCTCCATTGCTCTTATTTCCAAATTGGTTTATGACAATTAACGTCTTCACCTCTGCTCTTCTCCCAGCCAAATGTCCTCTACTTCCTGATGACACTCCTACTCATCCTGCGAGGCATAGACAGCTGAGTGAAAGTCAATACATAGAGGCTGAGAGCTCAACGTTTCTGGACTGGAATTCTGTCTCTCCTAGCTGCTGTGTGATCGCAGGCAAGTGATTTGACCCTCCTGAGGCTCCGTTCTCTCCACTATTGCACAGGACTACTGCAGGGATAAGACGTGTTAAGTGTGATGTACTTGACAGTATCTACTTTATAGACGGTGCTGTGTGAATTTAAAAGATAACAATGTAGTCAGCTCTGATGCCATCTCCTCCCAGCTTTCAAACTCCGAAATGTTTCTGAATTAAGCTGGACACATGGTACCACTTGTTACTGTACAGAATCCTATCCTTGTGGATTCACATTCACATTGCTGTGGGTGGCATGTGTGCCCTAGAGCAGCACAGTGGAGGTCCACAGATGGGCCCCAGAGTGTGGCCTTGAGAGGAGAAAGTCCTCACCTTGACCGGACTTACAGAGTCCTATTGGGACTCCGAGTCTAATTTCCTCTCCCTTCTGCAGTTCAGAACTAGGCAGCTTCAGAGACGGAACAGCTCCTAGTCTGAAATGGCTTAGCCATCACCCTTTGCCCAGGAGTTGGCCCCTCCATGCAGCCTCCGCGTTCCTCGATAGGAAAGGTCCCTCTCTACCTCCAGAATTCCAAAGGTTGAATTTACTTCTAGGCCCTCCTCCTACCCACTGTCAGCCCTGCCCCCGGCCCCAGCCAGCAGCAGCAGCTGTTCAGAGATCCTATCTAGCCCCGGCTTGACATTTCAACAGCCCAAGACCCAGAGATAAAAGTTGTCACTGAACCAAGTCCCATTGCCCCTGCCCTTTCTCTCACCCTTCCCTCTCACTTCTCAGAGGTTCACAAGGCGTCAAGTGGGCACCGAGATGGTCTCTGTCTCTTGCTACTGCTGCAATTCCTACTTTGGGGGTGGGAGGACCTTCAAAATGGATGAATACAGAAGAAGCAGTTTATCACCTGTGCTTTTATGATTGCGGCAGCCGGGAGGGGGTGGAGATGTCCTTTCAGATAAGCATTTGGAGGGGGGGTAGAAAGATTTTCAAAGCTTCCTTTGTTCTTTTTGGAGAGCCAAGCCATGGAGTTCTGGCAGAGAGCCCAGGAGAAAGGAGGATTTTAAAACACAATCTGAGCTGGCTTCCAAACCGCTTCACCATCCCTGTCATCAATTAGGGATGTTACTTAACAAGGGTTTGGGCCGATGTCTCACCCAGCCTGCTCTCCCTAATTGGACACAGACTGGTGATGAATTCCTGGAAAAAGCACTCCACACCACAGAGGTCTTCTCCATGGCCCCAGACACTCGAGGACAACTCAGGCTAGGCTGATATTGGACTCTGGGGGGGTGGGGCATATTCCAGACAAGAAAACAATACGACCTTTCTAGGGCCACTTGGTGCAGACCAAGAGGACAGACCCAGGCCTCCAATCATCCATGCTGCTAACTAGCTGGGAGCTAAAGTTATGCATCCAAGGGAAGGAGAAGCGGCTGAGTCTGTGTGGCCTGCACACCTCAGCCCTGTTCCACAGCAACCTGAGATTCTTCCTCTGAAGACCTTCACCCCCAAGTTCTAAAGAAATGGGTCTGGACCAAAATGGGATGAGTCTAAAATTGGGCTGAGTTGTTATAGACTCAACAAATATTGTGCCCAAAGAGCCAATGGATCCTAAGTCACGGCCTTGGTACTACCCAAAAAGCAAGAAATGGTCATCTTTACCAAGCATAGTGGTGCACACTTGTCTATACTTTCAGTACTTAGAAAGCCAAGGCATAAAGTGGCAAGTTTGAGGCCAGCCTAGGCAACACAGTGAGTTCCAAGTCAGCCTCAGCACATAATAACATCTTTATCTCAAAAAATGCATAAATAAAATGGCGACCTTCCTCCACCAAGTAACTGACTCTCCAGTTTGCAGCGGAGATGAGTCCTCAGAAAAGTATGTCTCGTGGTGCACTGAGGCACTCTGACCTTTGGAAATGACTGAGCCTTGGGGTTCAGGGTTCTCCCAACTTTACTCTGCAGTCCCCAGGCTGGGCATGTGCCATTTTCTTTGCTCTGAAGAGAAGAGCTGAAATCGAGATAGACTGTTTACGTAAAAACTTGGCTAAATTCTCAGGAGAAACTCAGCTCAATACTAACCTAGATGGTAGGGTTTGAGAGCTCATGGTCAGCCCAATGGCTCACAAGCTACTTTTCCAACCAGGCTGGTCTTTCCTGCCAACGCTACTTCATTCCACATCTCCTGGGACTCTAGAGGTCCAGCGTGAGGTGAGTTAAGGCAGGGCTTTCCCCTACACTGCTGGATCCCTGTCTTCAGGTTGTTTATGCCTCAGCTTGGGCCTCTTGGCTGAGTGATTAAGGGACAAGATGTCCCACCAGGTATTGTCCTCAAGGATCTTAGGACCTTGCAGCCAACCACGAGCGTATCGGTGTGCTAGCCCACATGGCCACTGGAGAGACACATGTGCAAAAGCAGAGGGTTGTTTCTCTAGTTCAAGTGGGCTGAGCCCCCACTTGAAGACTTGGCCTTCAGCCTCAGCTTCTGGCTTATCTTCCCAGTACTCTTTGGCAATTATGCCCTGCCCTGCTTGGCTGGAGCCTTAATGCATCCCTGCCTGGTTCTTGCCAACTTCCTGCTGAAGTCCAAGAGGCCCAAAACTATTCCCTAGAACTTCTGTTCGCTGGCAGAGTCTCTGCACTGGCCAGATGGACCGTCTGGATTTAACGTACAGACAGACGCCCACTCCATGCAACGACCTCTCTCAGCCCTATTCTACCTATGGCCATGCTCCTTACCCCAAAGCCTCCAACTCACCAAGGCTAGTGACCTGACACCACCTAAGCTAAGGTCACCCCAAGTCCTCTGGACCTGAGGAAGGGATGATTCCAAAGCCCTCATAGAGAATCAGCCATATTACTGAGCCAGACATATGAGGGACCTAGATGGGGAGCTCTTCATTTTCCATAACTCTCCTCAAGATGAGTGGTCCACGAATTTCCACAACATAGGAGTTGCCCCATAGTCCTAGAGGTGAGTAGAACTACTACAGCGCATGAGGCAAGGGTTAGGGCCAGAAGAGATGCCTCACCAAGTGAACTGAAACTTTTCTCTGAGTCCTGACACCCATAAACCACTAGTAAATCCACAAAACTCACCAAATCTTCAGGTCCACCCAGACAGTAGAAGGAAACAGAGAGGGGGAGATACACACAGGACTGAGAATGGATCAGCACAGGCTTAATCAAAGGAGGTCAAGAAATCATGGGAGGTCCACATTTCAGAACCTCCTGGAATGAGAGTCCAAGTTAGCTTTACTAGATTTCTAAAGGTCAAAAGTTCATATCTTCTACTCCTTCTATATCTCCCAGCATCTAGGGATTGGACCCAAGGGCATTGTACATACCAGGTAAGTTCTCTACCACTGAGCTTGGACCGAAAGGCATTGTACATACCAGGTAAGTTCTCTACCACTGAGCTTGGACCCAAGGGCATTGTACATACCAGGTAAGTTCTCTACCACTGAGCTTGGACCCAAGGGCATTGTACATGCCTGATAAGTTCCCTACCACTGAGCTACCCTCCCAGCCCTTGTTGTTTATTTGAGACCAGAACTTGATACCCAAATCAGGCTAGCCTTGATATCCCTATGTAGCCCATCCTGACATCAAATTTATAATTCTCCTGCCTCATCCTTTCAAGTACTAGTACGACAGGTTTGTGCCACCATAGCCCACCCCTGGACATACCTTAAAGTACAATCATAACCACCATCTTACTCTTCTGTGACAACATTTATATGCTTTGCTTTTTAATTATTATAAAAGCTCTACAAGATAGGCATTATACCCATCTTGGAGATGAGGAAACAGGTTCAGAGGAATTAATTTCCCATGAGATCATATAACTTCTGTATCACAAAGTTAAGATGGAAACACTGATGAGCCTGTCTAAAACTTGTGTTCACTCTAATATAGCATACCAGACTCCAGAATTTTCTTGGTTCTCATCCCTCCTTATCTTGGTATGTGATCATTCCCCCTTCGTCTGGACAGCCAAGCACGGGCCTGTGCCAAGATTATATAAATTAAAGTCACAGTCACTTCACAAATATTTCTCAAAACCTTACTGTTTGCTAGACATTGTGACAGAGACTGAGGGTGCAACCACAAAGCCAACCCAAATAATTACTAAGTATTGAGTGTATCATGACAAACAGCAAGTACGGAGCTATTGAACAGCACAAAGGGTAACAGGTTACGCCTTGGGACAAATAGTGGAGAATACACCACTAGACACACAGACAGCCTCTTCGGCCAAAATCCACTTCATGCAGTCTTCCCTATGGCCAATCAGTGGATCTAGAGACCCCCAGAAATACAAATCGCTTTAGCTCCACCCCTTCTTCATTTTACCTCTTTGCCAAGTAGATAAAAACAGAAAATGTACGGAGTACAAACTCCCTACCATATTCAACCCTACACCAAAGGAAAGGAAAGCCAAAACAACTTTTGAGTGTCACCTACATGCCAGATCCCCTGACAAATCTCTACTTTCCTTGCTAAAGGAGTAACTGGGGCCTAAGGAACTTCACCTAGGTCATTTGGTTTGCAAATGCTGAGCTGGGATTGAAGCCCAGCTCCACCCATTCCAAAACCGTGGAGTGGCTAAACATTGGCTAGTCCTGCCTCACTATCCAGGCCGACAGCTGCTGGCCGCACCTCAGTGACTGGTGGATTGAGCCTCAGCACAGGTAGGGAGCACTGTACTAGATTGTGCCAGCCCCACTGTGAGCCCCTGGGACACTCCAAGTCAAAGGACAGGAAACAGCAAAACAAGCTCTGAGAGCTTGAGTCTGCGCTTGTTCGCTCCCCTTTGAGCTGAAGACCGTCCCCCCAGGCAATCTCAATTCTTTGTATCCCCCACCTTCCCTTCCCAGCCAAGAAGTCTGAGTACAAGCCTCGGGAAAATGTCAGCCAGACCTGGCCAAGCATATGCTTGCATCAATGGCACCCGCAGGGAGCGCCAACAGTCAGGAGGGGGGTAAGAACCCAGGGCCAGGGCGGGGCATGTGGCATCCCATCAACCCTGCCACTGCTCTGAGAACCCTCAGACCTACTCTTGGCTTTCTCTCTGAAACAAGGGATGTCTATGAGCCTTCATCATCCATGCCCATGGCAACTCACCCAGCTCACAACTGCATGCCAACCCATGAGCTGGCAGAGACACCAGCAAGGCTCAGTTCCCTCTGCCACCTGCGTGTTGTCACTCTTCATTGAGTATCATTGCCCTTCCACAGGGCTGTGCTCCCGGGCTCCAGGCTTCCAATCTGCTCTCCGGGAGGCTGACAGAGGACAGGCAGTCCGGGGGAGGCTGCCCTGCCTTACTCCTACCAGCTCCTTGCCCAGGGCATGAATGTTGGAACAAGCTCTAGGAACCCAGATGGTAATTGCTGCCATCTAATTATGCGTGCATATGATATTAGCCAAAAGCATTTGACTATCTCCTGCGGTCTTAAGCAGATCAAATGGAGAGGCCGCACAGGTTCGAGGATTACTCCAGCAAGATAATGGCTGACAAGACTGCCTGCTGCCACTCAAGCCGTCACTGGCAGGCTGTCATTGGCCACTGGAGACCACACTAACCACCGGGGAATGAGAAAGAGCTGGGCTGATCCCTCTTGGGCCAGCAGGATATAGAATCCTCCAAGGCCTAGGGCTCTTGGTATTTCTATCATCCAATCCTCCTGGTCCCAATATTGATGAGCAAGAGGGAAGCAAAGAGCTTACAGTCTCCAATAAACAGCCTGTTTTTGTTCATGTCTGAATATTCAAAAGGAAGCCACCGCCCCCCCCCACCCCGTCCCGCCCCGCCCCTTCCTCTAAAAGCATGATACCTGGCACACCAATTGTGGTCTTTCTCACAGCGACAGATAGCTGACTGGGACAGCTTCCCCTTCCCCTTCATCTAGAAGAGGGTATCTACTCGGATGGCTCCCATTTGCGATTAATTGGGAAAAAGTTAATGCCTTTACCTGGCCCTGTTCCCTGAAGGACAGATACCCTGTTCAACTTTATTGTCTTTCTGGGACCTAAGGTACTTAACATGAAGCCTTGCCCACATCAGGAGTTCAAGGAAATTTTCCTGAGCTCGATTCCACCTAGTCAGCAATTGTCTCTTCATTGAGTGTAACTGGCAACATGTTAGACAGTAGCGACCCAGGCGTGAACAAACCACAGTTCCTGCCCTAGAGACGTGGCCTCTCTGACTCAGGTACGTTAAATCCTAAATGACATTCTGGATGATTGGAGTTTGGAAGGGAAGAAGAATATCAACAAAGAAAAAGTTGGGTAGAAGCTGAAGGCAGAATGAGCCCTTATAAAAAGTTGATGCTTTAGTGAGCGCTGCTCAGCAAGACCTTCCTCAGAGTGTCAACCCGACGACGCTCTTCACAGTATTTCTTGGACCAAGTATGTAGGAAGCTAGTAATTCACGGGTATGGGAGAGGATGTTCTGTCATGTGGCTTGAGATTCAAGAGAGTGGTGTGGGAGCGCTGACTATAGTAGCTAGCTGGGAGTCCCCCACGCACGTCTCAGGATTCTGCCCAGTGGAAGGCGTTCCTGAGAGCTAGATGATGAAGGGAGGCTATGGTGGGCGCCGATTCTTTCTGCCTGTCCTGGCCTAGGCTAGAGGCTGCTGAGACAGCACCGTGGAGGGTGGGGTTAATGAGCAGCTGATTCCGGTGGGCTGCAGGGATCTGTAATCAAGCTAGAGTTCCAAGAAGATGAAGGGGGAGGCTCCTGGAAGGCTCCCTCGGAGGACTCGAAAAAAAGACTAGGAAAAGAGGCAAAGGCTGAGTCCACTGCCACAGCAGGAACGAAGACACAGCCTCAAAGTCATATGCAACAACATGTGACAGGGAAGTAAGGGCCGCCGAGAGGGTGCGGCAACTCTCCTGCGGGTCCCTTTAAGGGAGCTCACCTCACTGCGGCTGAGACCAGAAGGGGGCTCTTTCTAGGGCGGTTGGGACTGGAGTTTCAAAGGGTTCATAGAAAGGGGAGGGCACTGTGGAAAGCAGCTCAGAGTGAGAGCCAAAAGGTGTGACCGTCCACAAAGACCAATTCATATATTTGGGGATATGGGCAGCGCTATGTAAGAGGAGTTGAGGGTCAGACTTGGGAACTTTGGAATCCTGGAGGAATCCTAAAGCCGGTTAGGAAGACAGAGATAAAATGAAGGTGGGAGAATGGGTAGAGATAAGGTGGCCTCTCAGGAGTGGTGTGTCTTCTGTGAAAATTCCATGGAGAGAATAGCAACCCCCACCTCCATATGTTACTGCTGGCTGGGTGGGGCGGTGAGATAAAACAGAGAGACTCAGCAGGTGACCGGCACAGGGTGCTGAAGACCCTGCGAAGTACTTAAGCTGCCCTTCTGCTGGACGACCTCCCGCCTGGCTTTAGGTCAGGGGTTTGGCTCCCGGATTATGCGGATTATGCACGGAATAAAGAGAAGACAATGTCAAGTTTGGCCCAGCTCCTCCTTTTCCCTCCACCTGCCATCTTCTTTCTCCTCACCCTCTTTCCTTGTCTTTAGAGAGGATGTTTGCCTTGCTTCTCCCTACACCCACGCTTCCTGAACCCAACCACCTTCCAGACACTAGGAAGTGGGTGTGCTGCGCTGTAGATGGAGGAAGGTGAAGAGTTGATTCCTCGGGGATAATGAAGAGAGAAAATGCATTCTGGGTGTTCATCAAAGATGACGGCTGATCGCAGAGTCCTCCCTCCTTCTTCCTCAGATGTATTTTGTCAACTGATCACCCAGAGCAGCCCAGAGACTGAGCTCACTGTAGCTCCCTGGGCACAGGGGAGTTGGGGGCTCTTTTGCTATGCTTGGCTCTGGTCTCAGGCGCCCTCCTGTGACTCCCCTGGTGTGGGAGAGCAGGGGGAGGGCCAGGCTCCCTTTGAAGTTCATCCTGGGATAAACTGTGGGATTCCCTGTAGGAAGAAGGGTACAACAAGTGGTGTGTGTGCTTAGGGAACTAACCTCCGAAGAGCAAAGGGCAAGCAGGCTCCAGTCAAGGGTGTGCAGTGATCCTAACATAATCCTAATTGTTCCAGGACTCCAGGCTGCATAGAAGACCATGGGACGTCGAAAGGCCACTGAAGCTCTCTGAACTGCAACGTCATTATCTAAAAAACAGGGGTCATTTCATACTGTATTAAATCTAAGATATCACTGACACGTCGAGATTCTCTCCCCCTACCCTTTTCTTTTACCAAAAAAGAAAACAGGAACTACCAATTAAACTATGCTATGTCATCCACCATAATTGGAATGCTGATGTCAAAGATGTTTAAAAAAAAAAAGGGGGGGAGGAAAAAAAATCAATCATGAGAATTCACAAAAGACGATAATAATAATTCTCGCTGCACAAGGAAGGCTTTGGAAACAACCCAGTGGGCTAATGAGCATCATCACACTTGGCAAACCAGGGAGCTTGGTGAAGGCCTGAGTTGTGCTTATTATCGGGGTGTCAGGATGGTCAAGATCTCGATCGACAGCATGAGAATGTGAGCTTCAGGAGGCAGCCCTAAGCCATCTGGTTCTTCTCCTTCAGCACCACATCCCTAGTGCCCAGAAAAGCGTGGTACATGACAGGCTCTCAGTGCACTCATAATTAGATGGATGAGGTTCTAAAACATGGCAGTCTCACCCGGTGACAAACACATGGGGAAGTCTCTTCTGCCCCTCTTCGTGACCTGCTAGCTGTGGACAAGGTGAAAGCTTGAGGTCAGGGCTTCTTGAGATTAGCAGATACCGCCATCCGCAGGGAGGCTTGGTTTGTCTCTAATGAAGATGAACACCAGCCCCATGAACAGACAAGGACAGTCCCTCCTTCCCAGCCACACAAACAGTGGGAGCATTTGCGGAGTGACGAGTATGTGAACAGCCAGAGGCTGAGTTCTGCATGGGAGAGATACAAATGGGATCTTCTTTCCCCGGGAGTTGATTGATTGAGAAGAAAAGATGTAAGAACAGAGAAAATTTAAGGCAACAGGAGGAGGCCTGTGCATAGCATTAGAGACCTGTTAGTTGGTTCTTTGGTTGGTATATTTGTTTGCTAGAACTGCCATAAGAAAATGCCATAGCCTGGATGGTTTAAGCAACAGAAATTTATAACCTCACAGTTTTAAAAGCTTCAAGTCCCAAGACCAATATGTCACTGGGGTTAATTTCTTCAAAGGCCACTTGACTTAGCTCATAAATAGCCATCTCTTCTGTCTGTGTCTCTATGCGGTCTTTCTTCTGCACAGGTATCTGTTCCAATCTCTCCTCTTTAATGAGGATGCCACCCTAAGACTTCAACATGAACTTGGCAAGGATAAAATTCAGCCCGTAACAGTTACTTAGCTATTCAACAAGCACTTCACAAACACCTCCCGCATGCCAGGTACTGTGCTAAGTGAAGAGAAGAAATGGGTAAATCACAACGGCTCTCAAGGGGATCACCATCCAGTCAGGGAAGCTGACAAACAGGAAACACCGTCATCCTTTATGGAAGGTAACGGCAAGCACAGATAGCATTATGGGAGTGCTGAGGAGGAAGGACACTGTCCTAGCCTGGGAAGCCGCCAGGGAGGGCTTCAGAGGCAAATCCTAGCTAACCATGAAGGGTTATATTAGCATGAACCACACTCCTGGTAGTAAAAACAAGAGCCAAGGTGAAGAAGCCTTATAACAGGGAATAGGGTGAGGAAAGACGACAATCTCAGAGGTCAACCTTAAAACTACAGGATGCTGAGGAGTGGGACCTCCTTCAGTGTGATGTTTTAGGGACCACACCCACCTCTTCCCAGGCCTAGTGTTTATTCCAGTGTTTCTGAGGGAACATAGATATTTCAGTGATGCTGGGACAGAGATTGAGCAAGCAAGGACTATGCACAATACAACAACCACATGGAAAGAGCTGGAAATGGGGTCTAGAGGGGACTGTCCAGCGGGCAGAGGAGATTGGTCTCTGTCCTGAGAGATGTGGGGTCAAGAGATGCAAAATTGAGCCTTTGGGAGTCTTCCTTTCCCTCCCTAATTGGGTGGGTATGTATCCCATCTGGTGACAATGAGTTTTAACCATAAAAGCATATTGCCCAGAGCCTGACTGGAAAATCCATAGGTCATAACTGTCACTACTCTTATTCTGCCCAGGATGTTTGCTGATCTGTGAAGAAGGGATAATATAAGCATCCTCTGGTGTCGCTTGAGGAGTAAAGGAGATGACCTGTATAGTGAGGACTAAGAGAGACAAACTATGTAACAAATTATTATGAAGCTCAGCTTCGTCATGTGCAAGCCAAGATAATTTTTATATAGTATTAAATTGAAGATTCCTTTGATTATAAGATCCATTATGCTTTGTTTTATCATTCGGGAAGAAATGCATGTTGAGTGAGATAACATGTGATAAGTGTTCAGCGCTGAACTTAGTAGGTATAAAAGGAGAGAAGTGGGAAGCAGCCTTTGGTTTGGGCTTCTGTCTAGTCGCCTAGGCTGGAAACCTGGTCACGTTTGACCTTTCTTCTCTCCTGCCTCCTTACCCTCATTCACCACCAAATTCTGAACATGCAGTCTGTCTCCTGATTCTAGAATCTGTCCAGTTCTCTTCATCTAGTCTCTTAATCCCTCTCACTAGTGTTATGAAGCTATCATATAGCTGTTACCCATGTGATGTGAAGATGAGGTCGTTCTAGATAGAACCCCTCTCCAATCTGACTGGCGGCCTCGTAGGAAGAAAGACACTTACACAGACGTGTGCACGGAAGGAGGACAGTGTGAGGAAGCACTGCCAGGCAGACAGCCCTGGGACAGTACAGGCGGAGACCAGAGTGATGCCGCCGTAAGCCAACAACTGCTCACCACCACCAGAAGCTAGGAAGAGGCAAAGATGGGCTCCACGGAGTCCCAGAGGGAGCAGGGCCCTGCCAATGCCTTGATGTCGGGCTTCTGGTCTCCAGAGCTGTGAATTCGTTTGTTATTTTAAGCCATCTGGCTTGTGCTACTTCATTATAGCAGCCCTGGGGAGCTGATAGAAGCACCAACTTTTACAGCTGTTGGAGCTACCCCAGTCTTTGCAGAAGGGTGGGACAGGGAGGCGGGGCGGCAGGAAGAGAAGGAAGAAAAAGCCATTGTCCTTTTCTGTTGTCTCATCTCTTTCTAGACAGTTACTAGGGGTTTGGTTTGGTTTGGGCCCCGAGCAAGAGAAAAGATTTCTTCCAGGAGGTACTGTAAACATGGGCTGTCTACATTCTTCTGAAAGAGGAAGTGAGTGGAGCTAAGGAAACGTTTCTTTCAGATAAACCAATTGACAAAATGATCATGCGAGCTTCTAAAGCTCAGCCATCCCTGTGGACTCATAAACTTGAGAGAGAACGAAGCACTTTTGTAAAAAGGGTATAAAAGGCAGTATTGTATAATTTCTCTTAAATGTCTGCTGGGCATCAGGGGCCTATAAATAGGCCACGCACCTGGTTCGCTGAGTAAGAATGGGGCGGTCTCTTAGGCAGGGTGCAGACTCTGGATCTTCTGATTCATCTAGGCTGCAGGGGCGGCGCAGCGCCAAAGGATGGAGGGCTGCTCTCAGCACCTTGGGAAGGAGGCTGCGGGGCTAAAAGCAGGCAGAGGTGGGAGGCCAGCCTGCTGAGAAGGAGGCAGAGAAGAAGCAAATCCCATCCCGTGCCCAACCACGATGACGCACTAGGAGCCACAGGATTATGGCTTGCATTTCTTTTCTGTGTTACTGCAGCAAGGGATCATGAATTTAGTGGCTCACAATGACACTTTTTTTTTTTAATCTTACAGTTCCAAGGGTCAGAAGTTCAAAATGTGTCTTATTAGATTCAAATGCAGGTGCCAGCCTGATGTTCTCCCTCTAATATTCAAAGACAGAACCCGTTCCCTGGTCTTTTACAGCTGCTAGAGGTGCCTCACTAGTCTTGGTTCCTGTATTTTCAAAGCCAGCAGCGCTGGGTCACATTTTCCCCACACAGCCATCTCTCCACTGGTCTTCTTTGCCTCTTTCTTCTGCCTTTAAGGGTCCTTCTGATGACAGGGGGCGTACTAGAATACGGAAAATTCCCTGTTTTAAGATCAACCAATCAATAGTCTTAATTCCGTTGTGAGCCTTAACTCTCCTTTGCCGTGTGAAGAAACACATTCACAGGTCTCAGGAAGCAGAATGGAGACATCTTTAGGGGAACACTGATCTGCCCATGACTCCATATTCTGCTCCTCAAAAATACATGTCCACACCACAAGAAAAATGCAAATAGATTCACCCCATTTCTGGTATCAGAAGCCATATTAGTCACAATTCAATCAAGGATCTGGAGAGAGACATCAGTGATTAAGATCATTTGTTGCTCTTGCAAAAGACCTGAGTTTGTTCTTATAACCATCTATAGGTCCAGCTTGAAGTGATCCGATGCCCTCTTCTAGCCTTCTTGGGGAACCAGGCACACACGGTGTATATGTATACATGCAACCAAAACAATCATAACAACCTCAAACCTGTTTCAAAGTCCAAAGTCTCTTCTGAGATTTATGGCAATCTCTTATCTGTAATCCCCCTATAAAAATCAAATTCCAAAATGTAAATGAAGACTTTTCTCTGTCCCACCCCATCCCACAGCTGCTTTTAAATAATCACTCAGAGGCTTATATTGATTATAAATGCTTGGCCAATGGCTCAGGCTTATTACTAGCTAGTTCTTGCATTTAAATTAACCCATTTCTATTAATCTATCCACATGGCCCGTGGCTTACTGGTTCTTTCATATCTTGCTTCTTGGACAGCTCTCAGCGTCTGCTCTGACTCTGCCCTTCTTCAGCTCCATCTTCAGTTTGAATGTATCACCTAAACTTATTCTGTCTCGCCACTGGCCAAGCAGCTTTGTTTATCAACCAATGAGAGCAACACATATTCACAGCATACAGAAAGATCAGCACCAAAAGCAGATTCACATACTTCCAAATTATAATGGCATAGGATATACATTACCATTCCAAAACACAGGGAAGGGAGCATAGCAAGGAAATGCTGGACAAAAGTGTTAGAATTCCTAGCCACTCCCCCAGTCCAGTATCTGTGCGCTGTGTGATCACATAATCTGTGTGCATGCATTATGTAGCTATGTAAGCCCATATGCACATGTACCAGGTTTGGGGGGGCTATAAAAGTGGGTTCCACCTGTTCCTCCCCTCTCTTCCTGCACGGTCATTTTTTTGCTTCCCATAATAAACTCTTATAGTGGGTTTTATTG